GGCCAGGCCCGCGCCGCCTCCCGAGCCCCGGGCAGAGGGACGCCGCGTGGGATGAGGCCCGGAGCGAGGGGTTGTCTTCCGGGAGCCGTGGCGGAGGGTGCGGAGCCCAGTGGGCCGCTGTGCCCGGCGCTTTGCGGGCCCCGAGCGTCCCTGGCTCCCCGAGCTGTACGTGGGACCCTCCAATGCCGCCGTCCGTCCAGACGTTTGAGGTCACTGGTCTCAGACCTCACACTTCAGAGCGTCCTGAGTTTGAATCTGGGGACCAACAGTGCGCGTCAGTGTTTCATGATCTGGAAACACGCACAGGCTGATGGTCAGGATTAGGAAGAACATGAGCAGAGCTTAGTAAGTATAACACAACTTTTGGGCTAACCTTATTTATTCGTAACAAGCAGAACATCATTAAGTCATTCACCTATAAACCCTCTATAAATTAATTCTGAATAATTGAGACTCCCTTCCCCACCTCCATGAACGTTTTCAAGCACCTGACTGTTTGTTGTGTCTGTCTGTCTCCCATCTGGAAGGATCATAATTCCAGAGCCAGATAAATTTGGGTTCATTTACCCATTACTTCCTGAAGTCTTGCTGTTTCTTTGTAAACTTCGATGATAAATAGATTTCTTAGTAAAGGATACTTGTATATGATTAATTCCTTTAACACAGTGGTTCCCAACCTTCCTAATGCTTCGACCCTTTCATACTGTTGTTCCTCATGTTGTTGGGACCCGCCCTACCATAAAACTATTTTCATTGCTACTTCATAACTGTCATTTTGCTACTGTTATGAATCGTCATGTAGACATCTGATATGCAGGATGTATTTTCAGTGTTACAAATTGTACATAAAGCATTGTGATGAATCAGGAAAACAATATGTAACTATATTGTGAAATGTTTATCTCTAATGACTGATACATGAAATTTTATCTTGTAGCATAGGGTAGCATGGGGTAACAGTCTTCATGCTGGGTACTCTTATGTGGGTGGACCGGCCTGGAGACGGATAGAGGAGCGGTGTCTCGGTTCCTAAGACCATTGGAAATATGTTTTCCGATAGTCTTAGGCGACCCCTGTGAAAGGGTCGTTCGACCCCCAGGTTGAGAACCGCTGCTTTAACAGATACTCATTTAAGGTTGTGTTTTCCTTTTAGTGTGTGTGTTGGGCTGCTGAATGCAGGCTCAGCAGTTCAAAACCACCACAGAAGTGGTTTCAGAAACTCACAGGGGTAGTCCCACCCTGTCCTGTAGGGCCCCTCTGAGTCCGTATCTACTCGATGACGGTGACTGCTTTGCGTTTTCTCTATAAGCTATGCTGTAGGGGCACACAATGTTTTTTTGTTCTATAATAGTTATGTTTCCACACAAAAGACACCACTTTTCACAGTGAGAATGCCCTATAGCATCAAAAGGAGCTCACCCGACGCCAGGTGTCAAGTGGTCATAGATTAGGAAAGATGGAATCTTTCGCAATTTTGTCTTTCAGTAATAGTCCACTCAGTCTCCTCAGAAATGAATCCTAGTTTTTGGTGGTTGTAACATTGGTGAAGATCAGATAGGGAATTCACGTACACTAATGGCTTTTATAGGATTCTATTTGTTACGTCTTCTGAGCCAGAGGAAAGAGTCTTCGTTTGCATCTTGTCTTGCCTTTGGTTTTTCTGTTTTGTTGTTTCTCTTACTCCTCTTCTTTGCTCTTAAGGGCTATTGAGGTGTTTGTCCCCCCCCCCCTCCTTTTTT